TGTGTGTGTGTGTGTGTGTGTGTGTGTGTGTGTGTGTGTGTGTGTGTGTGTGTGTGTGTGTGTGTGTGTGTGTGTGTGTATATCTACGATGGATTATAAAATGACGACAGCTGGGCCTTGGACTCATGTTTGGGGTATTTTTGGTGCCTTATCCTTTCAAAGTACCTTTTTCTGAAGACATGGACTCGCGTGAAGCTCTAAAGTATAGTAGGGTACAATGCGTAGTATTTATACTATTGTTCTGCTCGCCACCCTTGGACCTCATCCGTTGCCACAGATGGTAGTGCGACAGCGGAGGTGAACAAGGGAACGCCAAATGACAATAATAATTATAAAGAAAGCCTCTCGACAAGGAAAATAAACTCACAGATGCAAACCAGAGCGAAAAAGTGTCGACGCAAGAAGCCATATGACTTCAGCAATTCTCGCCAGAGACGAGTCGCTTTGCAGGTGCGTGCTGGCCTCAGTCCTGCGACTGTGTAGCTTACAGCGTGTGTGTGTGTGTGTACGGGCATACGTTGGAGCTTCACCAGTGACTGCGACCGGGTGGTTTGTGTGTGTGTCATAGATCTACGGTGAAAGCGACGTGTGGTAGTTTGTCAATTTGTTTTAATCGTATAGTCCGCGTATTACCCGCTGTCCTGCTGTAGATGATGTCTGCATTGCGCTGCTTTTTGATCCGTGCCCACTCCAGTAGGAGTGTATGGTTCATACCACAGGCTTTATAGATGAGCCATACTGTACTGTGCCTTTGGACTATCCAACTGGATTTTCTGATATAGCTCGAGTGGTAGTGGTCTGTACATGCCAAGCGTCTGTAACCACCGTATCTCAACCCAACACTCTCTGTGTGTCATCTACGGCAACAGGTGTGTTATTTCGGTTGGGATTACTATGGACTGCAGAGGCAACCAGACGTAGGTGCTACCATTGAGTCTCATTTATTCGAAGCCCTGGAGAAGACCTGCCTGGTAGAGAATCGAGACACATGCCAGTACAATCGGTGTGGGCGTACAGACAAGGGTGTGAGCGCATTTGCACAGACTGTGTCCATCAATGTCCGCACCAAACTCACGAACCCACGAGGACTGATCACTGCCGAGTCTGTGGTCAGAGAAGGCCCGCCACCAGAGGTATTCGATTTCAGTTCAGTTATATGAGTGTATACAGTTATGGCTCGTATACTTATGTTTGTACCTTCGGTTTGTGTATCGGAATGGGCGTGTGTGTATACACCCACCCATATGTGCACTTTGTTACATATATAACATTTAAGCCAATAGTGGCCGTGCTGGTGCTCACATGACTGTCACGAGGGAATGATGAGCTCTGGTTCAGATGCTCTTGTCTACTGTCCATAGTCCATTGTCTGTGTTAGTGTATTGGTCCAGCACCGCCGGTCCGTTCGACAGTTGCAGGATGAGGTTGGCCTCTTTCCGTCTCTCCTCTAGCAGATTCCTCTATTAAACATCTGCCTCTAGCCAAGGGGTCCCAATACTCAGAAATTGTAGCTACGCATGTGGTGGTACGTAAAGTGTTCAGTAACCATACGGCCTTCTCTCCGTCTACCTTTGTAGGTTGAGCAGCCGCCCCTCCCTGAGACTGAAGATGCAACTCCTGCCGCGACAGCAACGATCATTGCCTCAGACACAGCAGCCGTGTATGACGACGATGCGGATGAACTGTGTTTTGTGCGCATGCTGAATGGGGTGCTTCCCAGAGATATCCGTGTGACGGCCTGGGCGCCTGTATCAGATGACTTCAATGCCAGGTTTGACTGCAGCTCACGAACGTACAAGTATGTTTCCCCGGTGCCTCATGCTTGAGCCACGATTGCTCGCATGCCCACCCTGTTATTGTCTTTTTTTTTTAAGAAAGCTAAGCTATACCGCGCGAACGAGCGCAGTTTATATTAGCTGACACCTTACAGCTTGCGTGTTTGTTAGATTACTTGCTTGTGAACAGTGTCGTAGAACGCCGGCATATGCTGGGCAAACTGGATTCAAAGTTTGAAACCCGTCAGGCTGTAAATAAATACATATGACTTGTTTTCTTGAGTTACAGTGCGCATGAACCGCTACCTCATGCGTCTAGAATAAGAACATTTCAACTGATGTGACGCGTAAACTACGGTTGCTACGGCGATCGATGGAACACCCGACCTCTGTATTGAGCACTATCTGGTCCTTTTGCATCTGGCGTATATCTGATAGTACTGTCCGATGTTTCCCATCTCCACGTGCTATGTGTCTCTGTGTAGGTACTACTTCATTAGCACGGGCCTAAACGTCCCCGCTATGGACGAGGCCGCCTCACATCTGGTGGGCACGCACGACTTCCGGAACTTCTGCAAAATCGACACGACCAAACACGTGGCCAATCACGTACGCACGATACACAGCTTCACCATTGGGCGAACCACTCAGCTGGAAAACCCTTCAAGCGAGCTGTACACCGATGCGGATGTGCTCGAGTTCACGATAGTGGGAACCAGCTTTCTGTGGCATCAGGTACTATGCATGGTTCTATTACTCTGACCTTCAGGCGCCTGCCCTTTTATTTTTTTCTTTCAGGAGGTATAGATTATGCACCGCTCTTGTATATCCGATTTGTGCGCAAGTCAGACCATTTGGGACCGCACGGACATGGAGATTGCGCGAATTAAAAAAAAAAATTGTCGCAATACTCAACCGACCTGCTAGATTCTTCCTGGAACATGTAGCGTATCTAGAATAGTTGCCTACTGCATTCTCTCCTCAATATCTCGCCGTATAGCGCACTTGGAATATGTCTGATATGCCATCTATCCATTGCAGTGATAGGGACAGGCCAAATACTGATATGTCTGATATACCATCTATCTATTACAGTGATAGGGACAGGCCAAATATTAATATGTCTGATATGCCATCTATACACTACAGTGATAAGGACAGGTCAAATACTGATAATTCTGATATGCCATATACCTTGCAGGTCCGGTGTATGGTTGGAGTGCTGTTTCTGGTGGGGCAGGGCCGCGAAAGCTCGCAGACGATAGACACACTCCTGGATATAACAAAGTGCAAAGGACGGCCCCAGTACAATATGGCACCCGAGGGACCGCTAGTTCTGTACGACAGCCAATACAAAGACCCGCAATGGCGTCATAACAAAGGTAGTATTGTGTGGCAGCGTGATAGGTGTCTCTCTCGTCATAGAACGTCACTAGTGTGCATACGATGCACTCCTGTCCACCCCACCTGAGCATGGACTTGATTGTGTATATTGCCCAAAAACCTTGGACCTGTGTCTAACTCCAATGTTGTCAGCGGCACTCTTAATGGCACAGTCAACCGGTTGCGCTTTCCTCTGGTCTCAGGGTAATTTCCGAGGACTGTGTTGTTGGGATGATATAGTAAGGGCATTTGTGAACAGAGAGCAGTCCTACCAGTCTTCACGTCCTTGATTGATAGTTGTTGACCTTGCTTGTTTCCGCCTGTGACTTTAGATTCGCATAAGCTGCTGATGAGGTCACTGACAGAGCAGTATACGACACATGCGATGAGGGCCACCATGGCGCGCACCTTCTTGAATCGACTGAGAACTGCGACCCTACACACAGACAAAGGAGGTATGTCTCACTGACAATGGATAGGCATGTACAGTACAATACTGGAGACATGTCACTCCCCTTGGTGAGAGCACCTGCGCGTATACATTACGGATCAGAAAAGGGCCAGCTAACCCCAAGCCTTGGGCCCAAAAAGGGCTGTATCGAATAGACCCGGAGTGTTACCCGAACTACCGACATGCATTTATAGTAACTGCCACTAGTCCTAGTCCTAGGGTTGTGCAATATGTAATGGGTGTGATACCCCCGGTTTCTGATTGATACGATCAATATTGCTCTGCCGACTCGCCCTGCATAGCACTCAAACTGTGTGTGCACAAACACTCATAATACGTCTGTTGCTCGCCACGTGCTTTGTAGGCGACGTCGTTCCGTGGACTCAAGTGGAAGAGGAGATGCTTAGTGCGCCAGTTCCCCACCACTACAAGCCATTACTCTCTCGGAATATTAGCAGTATGTGTTCTCTACTTGGTGTGTGTGTATATGTATGTGTATGTGTACTTTCACATCTAATACTCTCGGAATATTAGCAGTATGTGTTCTCTACTTGGGGTGTGTGTGTGTATGTGTATGTGTTCTCTACTTGGGGTGTGTGTGTGTATGTGTATGTGTATGTTTGATTTCACATCCGATCCTCATAGAATATTAGAAGTATGTACCTTTTACTTCGTGTGTGTAAAGGTTTTTATGTAGTTTCACATCCAATACTCTCGGAATATTAGCAGTATGTGTTCTCTACTTGGTGTGTGTGTATGTGTATGTGTGTATGTGTATGTGATATGTTTAATTTCACATCCGATACTCTCATAGAATATTAGAAGTGTGTACCTCTTACTTCGTGTGTGTGTACGTGTATATGTAGTTTCGCATCCAATACTGTCGGAATATTAGCAATATGTAAATTATACTTGGTGTGTGTATACGTGTAGCTTTACGACCTATGCGCTCGCCGGCGATTTAAGCCAAATATAGCAAGTGCATGGTGCATGTACATGCAATGTTTCCGTGTTTACGCTCACGAGTTATGGGCTGTATGTACTCTGAATGATACATGTAACTGCAAACTCACGTCCGATACTGTCCTGTGGTCTTACCAGTGTGTTAAGTCCTCACAATTTGTGTATTGGCGAATTTTCGGATTTTTATCCATGGTCCAGATCTTCCTGCATGCCTGTGCAAATAACCTTGACGAGTGCCTTTGATTGTACGCCATGGTCATTTAATATTTTTCTCTGGGCATTCTCCGTCCTTCTACAGCAACTGTGGAAGCAGCCTTCGAGAGGAAGGCGAAGAAACAAAAGCTGGAAAGTGATTCTGCATCAAATTCGGGGCACAAATAAAGTCCGGGGGAAAATGATGTCAAAGAGTAGTTCCGGGTCATACTATAGCGTTTCTTTTTCTTTTATGACTATCCATCAATTTCGAAAGTGTTGTACAAGCCCTACTAGTGCTTGAAGGAGCTCACCGTACTCAGGTGGTTTCTGTTTTTATATACCTTGATCTGTCAGGTATACTTTGTTCTGTCAGGCTTGCAAGTATAGCCTGTGGGGTGTTGACATTAGTATGTCAAACGCATTTAACATATATTAAGTGTGCTGCAAGCGATATCGTGTTATACTGTGCATCACGCAGTAAACGCTTGGCGAACCCAAGCCTGAACATTTCATGAATCTCCATATATTTGTCCAGTATAGGAATACACGGCGAATTGAGTGCGAACCTGAAATATTACGTTCAGGGATCATACATAAATTGACCAGATATTCTAATATGATATAAACGGCCCACGAATGTTACAACTGCCTTTAATTCATGAAGAATGCAACATGATCAGTTTTTCGCAGCCCATGAGCCGCGCTTTGCGAAATACGAAAGAGTTTGTTTGATCATATGAGAAAATCTTCTCGGGGCACATGCGATTTAGTTGTACGTGTTTATTCATTTTATTGACACCTATAACCTACATGCAGAAAATCTCGAATATGTACTGCGCGCGAAGCGGTCAGCAATACAGGAGATAGACAGCTGCAATCAGTCCGTACGTTGTGCTTTAGATGTATATAAGATTTTTTTTGCCAGCAGTTGAAAATATCATCAGAGGATTAAAAGTTCTGGTATGTATATTTATTTTATTCACTTATTGAATCAGTTGACATAGCATTTAGACAATAAAATTCACAATATATTATTTGATGTTCCGAGGGTACATAACCTGTAGGTAACGAGTCCTATAAGTAAAAATCTCGACATATACTCTGCGCGACGCGGTAAGCAATACAAGGAGATGGTCAACTCCTTGCAGTCCATATGTCGCGCTTAAAATACGTACGATATATTTATACCAATTGCACGATATCATTAAAGAAATAGACAGAGTTCTTGGAAGTAAGCATATTTATTTACTTCGTAGTTAAATTAGGGTGAAAACTTAGTATGATGGTGAATTCTCAAATACTTCGACAAACATTTCATAACAAACATTTCATAATAATGTTTCGAGGGTACATAACCTGTAGGTAACGAGTCCTACAAGTAAAAATCTCGACATATACTCTGCGCGACGCGGTAAGCAATACAAGGAGATGGTCAACTCCTTGCAGTCCATAAGTCGCGCTTAAAATACGTACGATATATTTATACCAATTGCACGATATCATTAAAGAAATAGACAGAGTTCTTGGAAGTATGCATATTTATTTACTTCGTAGTTAAATTAGGGTGAAAACTTAGCATGATGGTGAATGCTCAAATACTTCGACAAACATTTCATAATAATGTTTCGAGGGTACATAACCTGTAGGTAACGAGTCCTACAAGTAAAAATCTCGACATATACTCTGCGCGACGCGGTAAGCAATACAAGGAGATGGTCAACTCCTTGCAGTCCATATGTCGCGCTTTAATATAAAATATCACATTCGATATATACATATCAATTTCAACATTCAACAACAACAAAACCTAAAAGACCTGGTATGAATACTTGTTTATTGACTTTGTGCCTGTTTAAGTTTTGTATTGTAACAAAAACGATATGTACTCCAGTATATTAAACCTGTACTCGATAAAATGTTCCGAGGGTACAAAACCTGTAGGTAACGAGTCCTACAAGTAAAAATCCCGACACATACTCTGCGCGACGCGGTAAGCAATACAAGGAGATAGTCAGCTCCTTGCAGTCCATATGTCGCACTTGAATGACATTCAAATACTTCCAAAGTTATACCACGAATAGTAAAAATATCATAGTGTGTGTCTATTCATGTATTATATATATATATACATACATATTTCATATATATATATATATATATACGTATGAATATATTTATACATATACT